CACCTTCCTCCTTCCATTCTCTACCTTTTTCTCCCTTCATTCCTCCTTTCCCCCCTTGCCCCATCCCCTTCCCTCGCTCCATCACCCTCCTCGCCCAATTCCCTCCCCTCTCTACGTACAGTCTTCCTGCTTCTCTTTTCCCCTGCCACTTTTTCTTGAACCGTGTACCTTCCTTCTTCCGTCCACTACCTTTCTCTCCCTTTATTCCTCTCATCCCACTTTTCCTTCCCTTCCTTTGCCCCATCCCCTTCCCTCGCTCCATCCCCTTCCCTCGCTCCATCCCCTTCCCTCGCCCCATTTCTTTCCCTCCCCATTTCCTTCCCTCATTCTCCTCGCCCCATACTCTTCCCTCTTCTCTGTCACTCCCCTTACTCGCACCAGCTGCTTTCTCCTTCCCTGAATGCACTCATCTGGCACTTACACACGCACATACCCACATACTACCCTTAAGATAGTCGGCTAGTTCCTTTCATCATTGTGCACTGTTCCTCTGTAACACACACTGCTCTATTTTACGGTAACAAGTCTACCAGCTTTGCATGGCACCGACATGAATTTCAAAGTTCATATGGTTTTGCTGATCAGTAAGCGTGAGGATGAGAAGCGTGCCCCTTAGGACAACAAAAGTCAGCAATGACCGAACTCCTGATGTTGCTCCGCAGAACAGTGTGGCAAAAAGTGAGTACAGTACCAATCAACAACATTGTTGATGGATTATGTAGTGGGCTCAAATGTTGTCGGCCACTAAAGCACAATCATGCCATCTCAGTTTAGTTAGCAACTCCTCAAGTGACAGTGGATCTCTGCCTCCTTTAACTGGGCTGCCGGTGCAAACAGAAACTTGGAACCTCTCAAGTGTGAACGTCTTCTTTCCCTCTTTCTGAAGCCCAACTCTGATATCAATCTCCATGAGGATGAAGAAGAAGCTGGTTTCCCCATTCCCGCAGGTCATTTGATGACACAAAACCATGAACACGTTGGGCTCCTTGGATTCCATGGCGTACGTAAAGTGGTTTTTTAGCCCAAATAGTGGAGCCAGCTTCTGAGACATGTATTGAAGATGGCAGAAGTGAGTGTCATGTTTGATTCCAGATATTGGACAATGTCGCACTGCTCGCTGTCATTCAAAATCATCACAGCGCCTGGTGTCAGATTAGCTACCAGAGTCGTGTACCTTTCCTGGCTTGTACATTTTTGAAGTGGATGCACAATAGAGAGGGCATTGCTCCCCTTGCATCTGATATCCAAGAGTATCACTGACGTTTCCACTGGAGGGGTGAGATCCTCAGGCACATCGGAAGCACTGAAACTGAAGCAGCACGCCATGAAGAGTCGTCGGTAATCAGAGTCGTTAGTGAGCTCGACGGTCTTCAATGAAGGGAAATGGTTTTTGCATTTTTCTCTCCACACGCTCTGACTGTAGGCGATTCTCTTGAAATCCTTGCACACAAGAGAAAAGGAAATCACGTCTGACAGGGGAAAGTACTGCGTGCAGAGGCTTTCCCATACATGATGAGGCACAGACGATCGATTTTTTTGTGAACTCGACCTCTTCCCCATTGAATGATTGAAAGATCGTGCTATCCACAGAACTGAGACGCCGTTTGACAAGGATACCGTAGAGTGGACTTCGTCAATTGAAAAAAATAAGCCATTATTCTCCAAGCTTTCTATCCTCGCTCTCATCTGGGTTTTCGTTCGCTGAGTTCTCAAGGTCGAGAGACATTCTGTCGATCGTGAATCGCGCATGTTAGTTGAACGGTAGAGAGAACCTCGAAACCACATCGATCCCAGCGGATACACGCACATATCCTGGAGAATGGCTCGGAGAAGACATCGAGAACATCTCGAGATTGTCTGGTGGGGGATGAGAAATCTAAGATAACTGGCGATTCACCAGTCCGAGATAAGTTATCGAGGTCGCTGGTTAGATTGGTGGTAGTCATGCTCACGAAGATGGGGATTTGGTTTTGACTTCGCCAGAGTTCGTAGAAAGGAGAGAGTTACTCGTCGGGATGAGTTTGATGGGCGAATCTGTATAGACAGAAGTAACCACTCCACACGTTTGGCGAAGGAGTGGGTGATGCAACTTGGGAGAGAATTTCTCCAGTGGCCAATCGGGTGATTCATTCTCTCTCGGGGGGCCTCGATTTACTCGAGTGGCCACGAAATTGGGTGATAATTACTCGAGTGGCCACGCCAGGGGATTCCTGCTCGCTTTGTTTTCACCGGCGAATTACCCTATGGGGATTTGTAGCCCCGAAATTCCTTATTCGTGCGAGTGGTATTCCTAGGTAGTGTTCCGTTCTGTTCCGCAACTTAAAATTTCGCCAGGCTCACGGACGCGAAAGTGGCCCGCCCACTGTACAAGAAACTGACCAACAGTACATTGACCGGTCAGTTTCGGCCAAATGCGCGACCAATGAGCGCACGGTCCATCTAATTCCGAACGAATCAGCGATCGAGCATATAACTTCTCGATCATATAATCCTAAAGACCCGAAGCGAACAGCCACACCCCTAATGCACGCGCATGATTCGTAAAAAAACATGCGCGGTGCATATGTTGCCATTGAGCGTCCAATCAGGCGCCATCATTGAATTCCCCATCATATACCGAAATGATCGGCCATAAATTCGCGATAAACTAAATTACCACGCGTGATTGGTTTGTTTTAATCTCAGGATATGCTTTGCCATTGAGCGTCCAATTATCCCCGTCCAAATGAAATGGCAACCATATATAAAATAGGACCGCGCACTAACAAATATTAGTGCGCATGTGATTTGTCCAAGTTTGTGTGCTTATGGTGCATATAAAACATACTCTTAAATCCCATACAGCCATATAGTAAATTGTGTTTAATGAACGCATTCAAATATGATCGGCAATCGGTAAATCTTGCGCCTGATTAGACGCGCAGTGGCAACAAATGCACCACTCTATCTCCTGACCAATCGAGCGCGGTCGTTTTGCTGTGCCGGTTCGTTTCGGGTGAAATGCAGTATATGATCGCGAAGTCATATACTCGATCGCTGATTGGATGTTAATTAGATGGACCGCGCGCTCATTGGTCGCGCATTTGGCCGAAACTGACCGGTCAATGTACTGCTGGTCGGTTTCTTGTACAGTGGGCGGGCCACTTTCGCGTCCGTGAGCCTGGCGAAATTTTAAGGTACGGAACACCACCTAGGGATACCACTCGCACGAATAAGGAATTTCGGGGCTACAAAGACCCGTAGGGTAATGCGCCGGTGAAAAAAAAGCGAGCAGGAATCCCCTGGCGTGGCCACTCGAGTAATTATCACCCAATTTCGTGGCCACTCGAGTAATTCGAGCCCCCCCGAGAGAGGATGAATCACCCGAATGGCCACTGGAGAAATTCTCTCGCAACTTGGCGAAACGAAGTGCTCCATCCTTGACCAATTTTTGCAAAACCTAAAGCTGAAACAAGCAGCAACATCTACGTTCAACCGTAGGAGTATCCTGCCACACCTAGGGTTAGCCGAGATTAGATGTATTTTTACTAGAGTTTTCCTGCGTCAACGGGTTCAGATGGGCCAAAATAATGCGCTCGTATGTTGGCCAGAAGCTTGGAACCTAGCAAGGGGTTTGTCGAACTGAATCTCGAAGGAAAGGAAATAGTTTTTCTGCTCACACGATTTTCCCGGATTGACCGTCCAGACTTATTAGCCGTTGAGACCTGTGTAACTTTCATTCTCCGGTTTCTTGGTAGATCTGCTGCTTTGAAACCCGGGGTTGTTTGTTGTTCATTGCCGATGACAAAGATGAGCACCAGGATGATGAAGAGAGACACCAAGGCGATGCGGATTCCGTCAAACGACCTCGCCGATTTCCGCCAAGCGCAACTCACGCACTGACAATCCTTATGCTGCGCTGCTTCGTGTTCCGGCGCGACTGATGCGTCGATTTGAACAAGACAGGTTGCGGGGATTGAGTTGAATGTCGCTTTTGCCTCTGACCCCATTTCGGAGAGCTATCGATGTTGAGGTGATGGTGAAGTTCTGTTGGCTGAGATTCTGCCGCAGGCACTCAGCAGCTCAGGAAGGATTACGGAAGAATACGTTATGTACAGAAGACCCTAACTCTGGCTACAAGAGCTCTCATAAACGATTGTTCTTGGGCCTCTTAGAGAAAGCAAGAAATATATATACTGGCGGAAAACGAACCTTTCGTCAATATTCTCAATGGCTGTCTTGTTCGAGGCGTCCTCTCGAGGCTCACGTTGCATGGTAAGAAACAGGAATCTTGTTGCGACGTGTCTTTTACTCACTGTTGGAGATAACTCTCGCGCCAGTCAACGGACAGACACAATTCTAGAATCCGTGAATGAAGATGAGTGGAGAAGACAGGTCTCGTTCTCCCCGTCACTGAAATTCCAGTCTCGCAAGGAAAAAGCAGGACCAGTTGCTGGACTGGTGCATTCATTGATGTACGCGCTAACAGAACGCGCACGTTCTGCTTACAGGTTCCTCACTCTGAACAAATGGAATAAGCGAATGGGCAAAATCATTGCCTGCTACGCATTCATAAACCATAACGTGAAAGCCAGGTTCAAAGCATGCTTGGATCCGACAAGGTGGTAAAAAACTGGTAGTAGCACCCAACTCAGAAAATATACAATCCAAACTGCAGATTTGTCAGCAGCAAAAAAAACCAGGGAATAGGCGTCCTAAATTTGATAAATCCGACCTAGTGATTCACTAGCAGCAGAAGCAGAAGCCGGCCCTACGTGTTGCCTCATAAAGCAAACAGCAAGATTGCGGAGGCGTGGATTGGGGCAGGCGTCAGCAGCAAAGCTATTGATGCTTTCGAGCAGGCTGGGAGTGAGAATTACTGTCAAATATGCACGAAAAAACACGGGGGGTGGAGAGTGAGTGAACGTTGGAAACTAATTCATGGAAAAAGGCACTACCGTAGGCAGGCACTGGAATGGTCGTTTTATTCTAGCGGAGCATGGATGCTTTGGCATACGTACATGATCGGGTGCGAGGAGTGCAGATGTAGTAAAGGCAGGCAAGTGCAGACAAGGTCTGAAGAGGGGTGACGAGAAAATTGTTTTCAAGTATGAAAAGTATGAAAAGGACAGTCAATAGAATCACCGCCCAGACCGTATTAGATGGGAGGAAAATGGAGGGGAAGACGAACATTTGTGTTTGGAACAAGGCAGACTAGACATACATGCACAATCTCGACAAGTATTACCTAAGGTAGGTTAGACAATGACAAAATACACTTGAAACTTGAAACGTGCATTCCACAACGTACAGTGCTCTCAACTGGGCTCGACAAGCAATCGACTATAAGGGGGATGCTGTCCGGCACTGTGGCAATCGCTGATGCATTGACTGGATCTGGGGAAAGCGAGAAAAGACCATGACATCAGAGAAAAAAATCAGGGACATATATTTTTATGTTGAATTGCTGCAAATCATTATCCTCCTCATCATAACTCCATATCTTCTCATCATAGACATAACCAACGTTGTGGACATAGCTGCTGATTCACAACCATTGTGGATCATAATCAAGCCTGTCCATTGCACGCAGAGGTTCTTAGGAGTTTCGAGTCGACTCAAAAGTCAGCACATTGTGGATCATAATCAAGTCAGAGGTTCTTTCAACATAATCACGCTGCACGCAGAGGTTCTTAGGAGTACGCTCTTCTTCAAGTCAGCTTCTGAGTCGACTCAAAAGTCAGCCTGTCCATTGCACGCAGAGGTTCCTAGGAGGACGCTCTTCTTCAAGTCAGTTCCTCTACTCACATCTGCAATCTAACAGTTCTTCATGCTCATGCAACTTCCCCTACCTGCAGCGGCGACTTTTGAGACGTCTCAAAAGTCGTTCTTAGGAGTACGCTCTCTTTTAAGTCAGTTCCTCTATTCACATCTGAGATCTAACCGTTCTTGATGCTCATGCAACTTCCCCTACCTGCAGCGGCATTACAGAGCCCTCCCATGCCAAAGTCAATGAGCTTGGCATTCTCTTTCAAGCAATCTCTTAACTACAAATTAATACCTCTCACTGTCTCTGAATCGTGCACCTCCCCCGCACCTGCAACAGCGTTGCAAAGCCCTCCCATCCCGAAGTCAACGAGCTTTGCATTCTCCTCAGTCAAACAGTCCAGAAATAGCTCCAACACGTTCAGCTGGGCTCAGAATGAAAGGAGAGGAGAGGTTGACGGATACAACACAGGATGCGAATGCCGAGAGCGGAGAGGAGGGGAGAGGAGGGGAGAACAGATGGAAGGGGGGACTTTTGAGTCGACTCAAAAGACACGTTCAGCTGGGCTAGAATGGAAGGAGAGGAGAGATGGACGGATACAACACAGAAGATGCGAATGCAGAGAGACGAGAGGAGTTGAAATTTGTTGGATTCGAAACGCAGCAAGCCTGCTAAGAGTAACGATCTGTAGTACTAAGTCTACTAATCTGAAAGTCGAGGGAAGTAGTGAGAAAGGTCTACTAATCAGAAAGCCAGACACATTAGGCCTGGATGTCGCGTGTGAACGCGTTTCAGCCACCAAAGGCTTTCATCAGCACAGAACGCGTTGACGGATACAACACAGAAGATGCGAATGCAGAGAGACGAGAGGAGGGGAGAACAGATGGAAGGGGGGACTTTTGAGTCGACTCAAAAGACACAGAAGATGCGAATGCAGAGAGACGAGAGGAGGGGAGAGGAGGGGAGAACAGATGGAAGGGGGTTGAGGGAACAATCATGTAAGGACTAAAAAATGCAAACACTTTGCATTGGAGTATTGGAGTACAAAAAAGGCAAGCAGGAGAAGATGCTGTGGTGTGGTACAGTCACATCCATATAGGTAGCGAGTGGAACACCCACCCACCATGTAACATCCATTATAGGTAGGTAAATTCCACACACTTGCATTGGTGGAAAAAAAGAAAGTAGGAAAAACTTATGTGGTGTGGTACAGTCACATCCATATAAGTAGCGAGTGGAACACCCAACCACCGTGTACCTTCCACGTAAGTAGACAAATTCCAAACATTTGCCTCAGAGAAGAAAGGGCAAGTAGGAAAAACTACTGTGGTGTGGTACAGTCACTACCATGCAGGTAGCGAGTGGAACAGAAACCCACCGTGTAGAGTCTCATTATAAAGTGATATCGATTGAATCATAGGCACAATTTTCTAGGTTAAAGTAAAAGATTTCAGGCGTCCCAACACAGGCACACCCACCCAGCTACGATACAGCCACACCCACTAAGCAACAGCCCCTCACCTTGTGGCTTGCAAATGTGTTCACGGTTGATCGGGTGGTGAAGTTGGCTGAATTAAATAACTCTAGCTAGCTTTAAGATGCCTCTATAGAGTCATACCCATCAATAAGGACACACCAACACACACACGGTCGATCAATCACCTTGCGCAGGCAGTGTCATGGCTGATCAGATTGTTGGTGAAGAAAGTCACTAGCTTAGCTTCGAGACGTCTCAATACACTCACACGCAATACAATCACACCCATAAAAAAAGTCGCACCCATCAATACAGTCACACCCAGAAGGCGTCAACCACTCACCTGCACAGGTTATCATAACTAAACGGGTCATAGGCGATGATATTGGCCAGGTTGCTTCAATACAACGTTTCAATATATTCGCACAACTTCGATAAAGTCACACCCACACATGTACAATCACCTTGCGCAGGTAGTCAGATGATCGGGTCATAGGCGAAACTGGCCAGACTGCTTATGATTGTATAGTCACACAATTTCGATACAGTCACACCCACACAGCCATAATCACCTTGCGCAGGTGGTCATAGTTGATCAGGTCAAAAGCGAAATTGGTCAGGATGCTTATAAGATGTTTCAATACAGTCACACCCACACAGCTACAATTACCTTCCGGCGGTAGCCATAGTTGATCGGATTGTAGGCGAAATCGACCAGGCTGTTTACAAGACAATTCAGTACAACCGAATTCACAAAGCTATGATCACCTTGCATCATAATTGATCGGGTCATAGGCGAAATCGACCAGGCTGTTTACAAGATGATACCGTACAATCACATTTACAAGATATAATTACCTTACGTAGATAATCATAATTGATCGGGTCATAGGCGAAATTGGCCAGGTTAGCAACAATCTGCTCCTTTGCTTCTGCAAGTAGTGGGAGAAAAACAAAAGGGTGAGTGCGTGTGTGCAGTGGTGAGGAGATTCGGGGGTACGTAGGCTGGCGAAATTGGCCAGATTGGCAACGATCTGCTCCTTCGCTTCTGCTAGCAGTGGGAGGGAGGCAACAGGGTGAGTGCGTGTGTGCATTGGCGAGGCGAGGAGGAGGGGGAGGCTGGAAACATTGGGTAGATTGGCAACGATCCGCTCCTTTGCTTCTGCTAGCAGTGGGAGGGAGGGAGGCAACAGGGTGAGTGCGTGTGTGCAGTGATGGTGAGGCGAGGAAGAGGGGGAGGCTGGAAACATTGGCCAGATTGGCAACGATCCGCTCCTTGGCTTCTGCTAGCAGCAAGAGAAAGACAAAAGGGTGAGTGCGTATGTGCAGTGGTGAGGAGAGCCGGGGGTAGGGAGGCTGGAAACATTGGCGAGGTTAGCAACGATCCGCTCCTTCGCTTCTGCTAGCAGTGGGAGGGAGGCAACAGGGTGAGTGCGTGTGTGCAGAGGTGAGGAGTGTTGGTGTTAGCCCTCAATCTCACATTTTGTACTTGTACTTTTATATCCTAGTTTAGTGTACTCTGCACTTTGTGTTTGGTTGGGTGTACACCCACATCCCAACCAAACCCAAATGTAATCTCCAAGCAATCTCCAACCCACCAATTGGAGATTGCCTTGGGATTACTCTTGATTCCCTAGGATTGCCCCTGATTCCCTCCTCATCCTTACCTTGCTCACTACTAATGTATCAGTTCTAAGCCTAAGTTCTGACAAGGAGAGCCGGGGGTACGGAGGCTGGAAACATTGGGCAGATTGGCAACGATCCGCTCCTTGGCTTCTGCTAGCAGTGGGAGGGATGCATGAAGGTCAGTGCATGTTGGAGAGAGGGGGTATGAAAGAGGACACCAGTTAGGCGCCATTGAGTTCGAAAATTCGGTGGTAACCGGTTTCGGCGTACAAGCCTTCTTCGGGATGCTTGAAGGTCAGTGCATGTTGGAGAGAGGGGGTATGAAAGAAATCAGAGAAACGGGAAGGAGTGGGGATGGAAAGGGGGGTGGGGGGATTGGAGGAGAGGGGAGGAGGGGAGGAGGGGAGGAGGGGAGGAGGGGAGGAGGGGAGGAGGGGAGGAGGGGAGGAGGGGAGGAGGGGAGGAGGGGAGGAGGGGAGGAGGGGAGGAGGGGAGGAGGGGAGGAGGGGAGGAGGGGAGGAGGGGAGGAGGGGAGGAGGGGAGGAGGGGAGGAGGGGAGGAGGGGAGGAGGGGAGGAGGGGAGGAGGGGAGGAGGGGAGGAGGGGAGGAGGGGAGGAGGGGAGGAGGGGAATGGAGGACAAAGAAGGGGAGTAGAAGTGGGAAGACAAGATTGGGAGACAGGAAAGCGGAGGAAGAGAAGGAGTGGTGAAAGAAGAGAAGGGAAGGAGGCAGGGACACAGATAGAACAAGTAAACCTGGAAGCAGACGAGAAATATCAAACACACGCAGAGGACAGAAGAATGCATTGTTAGGCTAATTCATTCCAGAGTTGACTTTTGAGTCGACTCAAATGTCAACTCGGTATAATGTCAGAAGAATGCATTGTTAGGCTAATTCATTCCACCTTTTGAGTCGACTCAAAAGTCAACTCGGTATAATGTCAGAAGAATGCACTGTAAGGCTAATTCATTCCAGAGTTGACTTTTTGAGTCGACTCAAAAGTCAACTCGGTATAATGTCAGAAGAATGCACTGTAAGGCTAATTCATTCCAGAAAAAAACACAAGCTCTGTCCTGGTGAACGACATAGTGTCTGGAACCTTCGTCTCACCTTCGCTTTCAGTTGTCTGGAACTCAGTGACAAGTGACTGCTCACAAGGCAAACAGGGGACCGAGGGGAGTGCATGGGAAAGAAATCAGATGTCCTTTGACATCTCACCCTCGCTTTGAATCGTCTGGAACTCAGTGACAAGCGCCTGCTCACAAGGCAAAGACCGGAACAAAGGGGTGGGATATACCGGAACACATGGGATAGGGGAAATGGTTGTTTGCAAGGGTGGTCTGGAACTCAGTGACAAGCGCCTGCTCACAAGGCAAAGACCGGAACAACAGGTTGGGATTTAACGGGGGGAAAGGTGATGAGGGAAATGAAAGTGATGAAGGTTGCTTGCAAGGATGGTTTGGAAGTCAGTGACAAGCGCCCACTCAGTGACAAGCGCCCACTCAGTGACACAAATGGATGGGTTGCGTGGAGCTTGATGACCCACGCCTCACCCCACGAGTGAGAGATTGCGGGTAGAGGGACAACTTTTGAGGCGCCTCAAAAGTCGTCTCTCTCTACCCGCAACTTCTAAACGGTTGTTGGCCGTTTAGACCCCACGAGTGAGCGGGGAAGGCAAAAGTGAAGTTTCCGCGTTGCAGGCGTGGCAAGAAGTCAGAGGTGAAAACGAACGGGTATACCTCGAGTAGAACGCGAGCGAATCTTACCTGAAGGTACTCAAGACGCGGCGTGCCGCTCCTTCCCTGTCGCCTGCCTCTTGGTCCTCCTACCTCCCTAGCAGACTCATGATCCCGAGGCCCACGCAATTCCGAACAGACTCATGATCCCGAGGCCCACGCAATTCCGAACAGACTCATGATCCCGAGCCCCACGCAATTCCGAACAGACTCGTAAAAAGACAGAGTAGAATGTTAACGAGTCTTACCTGTATGTACTCAAGACGCGATGTTCCGCTCCTCCCCTGCCTCTCCGTCAATCGCTCTGCGGTGCTAAACATGGTCTTGCGTGTTGTAAGGGCGTTTTACTCTCTAGAGCGCTCCGCTCCGGTAAACCTATGACGTTCCAGTCCTTCCCTGTCTATCGGACAATTGCGCCACCGCGCTAAACATGGCTGTGCGACTTCGAATCGCGATATGATTCAGAGGAGTTACTACAGCTTTCCGGTCGCCTGCCGCCGCTGCTACATCCAACCGCGTTTCGTTTCCCCGTCATGCTAAAGACGATTTGACGTTATTTATCTCGATATGATTCAGAGGCGTTCCGCTGCAGCGATCTTACGATGTTCCGTTCGCCTGCCGTATCTGCCTCATTCAACCGCGCCGCGTTTCGCTCCCGTGGTAGCCATAACTCTACAGGCGATCCGATCCTTGAGGCGCTTCAAAAATCAACCTACGACGTTCCGCGTAGCCTACAACGCTCGGATCGTCTCTGGTGGTCTCACTTCCATTCAACCGAACCGCATGTGATTTTTGAGTCGACTCTGGATCAGCCTACGCCGCTCCGATCGACTCTGTTATCAGATGCATGAAATCTGAATACAAATGTATACTGAAGCTGCCGCCAGCGTCGCTGCGGTGCTCAACATGAAATCCTTCCCTATCTGCTTCCTGCGTCTAGAGTTCACGCTTCCTGCAGAAGACGGCGGGTAACGGTTGGGGTGTCAGGATGTCAGGAGGAGCTCTGACGTTGTGCGTGGGCCGTTATTAAGGAATTCGTTTACACGCAATGATCGAATATTTTGTTGAAAAGGTCACTGCTTAAAGTACAAAACGTGCTGACTGGGTCCATCTAGGTGGGCTGGAGGGGCCACTGTCCATGTCAAAAGGCCTGGAAACTAGGCATTCTGAAAGTTGCAACTTCGTATGGCTTCCTTGATCATGCAGCATGAACAAGACGCACGAGCTGGACTAGAAGTCCTGCATCCTATGGAAATTGCTCTGCATATGCTTTCATACATTTCTCCATTCAAATGCAAGGATTATGGCCATAAGTGATTTTTTCAACAACATTGTTGATGGGTAATGATGCAGTACACAGGCTCAGATGCTATCGGCCACTGAAGCACAATCATGCCATCTCAGCTTAGTCACCATCTCCTCAAGTGACAGTGTACCGGTATATGGGTTAACAGTACGAACAGAGATAATGATTCTCTCAAGTGTGAAGGTCCTCTTTCCCTCCTCTTGAAGCCCAACTCTGATCATTATCTCCATGACGCTGAAGAAGAAGCTGCATGAGGTCATTTGATGACACAAAACCACGAAGACGTTGGGCTGGCCAGATTTACTTGCTAACGTATGGTGGTTGAGCCCATATAGAGGAGCCACCTTTAAAGATGATGAATTCAAATTGGCAAAAGTGAATGCCATGTTTGGTAGGTATTGGACAATGTCGCATTGCTCGATCATCCCAAATTTGTTTTCTGGGGGGGGTGGTTTGGACAGTGGGAGACAGTACTATGTATTTCGAAGTGCAGTGTGGGTACACGCTACTGACTCGCTACTCCCTCCAATCTCCAACTTCACACACAGTACGTCGGATCTCCAACCTTTCGAACGGAGTCCCTACACTGTATCTTGAACGCACTCCACACTCTCTCGAGACTCCCCCTCCACTACACAACAGCTGTATACGTGGGGAGTTCAGATTGCTCAACCACACCCAATTGGGTTTGTTTGTTCGGCTTTGTTGAAACCAAACCAAACCAAACCTTTGTTGAAACTAAGGGCGACGTCAGGTTGTACAACTTTTTGTACGCCCACTGCGGTTAACTCTGTTTCAATACGGTGCAGAGCGGTAAACGTCAAGAACCGCTTTCCACCGTTTTGGAACGTTTTGAACCACGATACATGAACTGTAAACCCATGAGAAATGTATAACCTGATGTCGCCCTAAACCAAACCAAACCAAACCAAACCTAAGCACTTCCCACGTCCGTCCGATCAAATCGTTTCGATGGCTACGATCACCATTTGCAAATGGGCTTTCTTGAAACCCCACTTGCACATGATTGGTTGCCCGGATTGTCTCGGATCGAGCTCAGAGCTCCTGCTGCCAACCAACTCGAAACCCTAGAGCAAACTCTATGTCGTTTGTATTTAGCTTGTGAATGCAGAGTGGTTCAATTCAGTTTTTAGTTCACGGTCACGTTCAATTCAAATCCAAGTACTCCCTCCTTCTACCTTTACTATCGCTACTCCAGAGCATCCGCAGCCGGAACTCTAGGCGGAAAGTTCCACTACTTCTGTTAGTACCATGGTTCTTAACTACTCATGTCGCTTCGTCATTCCACAATGAGTCTCGGACTTCACGCATGTTTTCTACTGCTTGCTGTTACGGCCGTGACTTCCGTATGCTTTCATTTCCCTCGCTTCTCCCTCCCATTAGAACTCTTCCCTTCCCCTATTCTCCTTGTACCTTTCCGCAACATACGTGATCCTCCCCTTCCCTTACCATTTTTCCCCCTCCTCTACCTTTTCGAAATGGCAGAACTTGACGCGGTGGATCGCTTGATATGACTACGGTTACGGGCGATGTGGCGATAGTGATGCTCGGCGATACCCTTTTGCAATGCCGCTGTAGCTTCATAGTCGAACCCTATGTTCACTCCAAGTTTCTTTCTTTCTCCCCTTTCCCTTGTCCACAATCCGCTGAAGTCGACGAACGGCGCGAAGGGCAAGGTGGCGACGACGCAGGCGGCGGGGTCGACGTACGACATCTACGACGGCTCATGGGTGTCCGACCGCGCCCACCGCCCCGCCTACGACATGTCCTCGTGCCCCTTTCTCAAGGTGCGCCGCATTGCCGTCGCTCATTGCGCGGCTTATTCTTTCTTTGCTCACGCGTGTTAGATCGTCGCATTGCCTTCGGGAATGTGCGATACTGCTGATGTAAATGGCGCAATTGTGGAGGGAGCACAATACGATACTCGCCAGCCAAGTTTATGATGCGAATGCGGAACAAGTGAGTTGCTCCATCCCGCATCGGACTAACCCGTTTGTGTCGACACACTACCGCAGTGCGAATCGCGTGAGAAGCATCCCTTCCTCGCCTGCACGTGCAGCCTCACCCTGCATCCCCTTCCCTCGCCCCACCTTCCCTGGCAGCACACCTTCCCTTCACCATCACCCGCTCTTCCTCTTTACCTCGCTCTCCCGCCCTCTCCCTCCCGCAACAGCCTAGCGGCGGCGGACAGCAAGGTGACGGCGTCGAGCACGAGCAATGTGCGGCTGGGAGCTCACCTTCCCTTCACCGTCCGCCGCACCTCCTCTTAACCTCCCTCCCCGCCTCACTCCCTCCCACAGCACCCTTACGGAGGCAAGTTTATGATCCTCCCCCCTTCCCTTCACCATCACCCGCTCTTCCTCTTTACCTCGCTCTCCCGCCCTCTCCCTCCCGCAACAGCCTAGCGGCGGCGGACAGCAAGGTGACGGCGTCGAGCACGAGCAATGTGCGGCTGGGAGCTCACCTTCCCTTCACCGTCCGCCGCACCTCCTCTTAACCTCCCTCCCCGCCTCACTCCCTCCCACAGCACCCTTACGGAGGCAAGTTTATGATCCTCCCCCCTTCCCCCTCCTTCCCCTCCGGCTGTCATGATCATCCTAGTTTTTTTCTTACCTCGCTGACTTTCCCGTTCTCCTCGTCCCCCGTGCGCCTCTCTCCCCTTTCCCGCCGCTCCCCCTCCCCCGCTCATTCCCTTCCGCAGTTGCGGCAGCGCGCACGATCCCTCGTCCGTGTGTTTGACAGAGATGGTTTCTGATTCCATGGAGACCGACTCTGCGAAGAGCCACACTCTCGACCACGGCCTGCTCGACGCGATTCACGGCAGCGAGGGTCGATATAACGTGGCATACGCGGATTCGTTCTACGCGCGCATGGCGGAGCAGGACGCGCAAGCTCCGCGGATGGGGGAGAGCGGCGGGCGTCTTTCCGCTTTGCGCCCCACCCCTATTCCCTCAGCGCCTGCGCCTCCGCGTCAAGCCATCCGTGCTTCCCCCTCCTCCCTGTGCCCCACGCACCGCCACTGCAACGTGTTGGCGCATAGCAGCTGTGGTTCCCGGAGCGAGAGGTGTCCATCTAGAGGCGCTACCAAAAGGTACGCACGCCTGCTCACCCTGCCCTACCCTTTCTTCCGGCCATCTTCTCCGCCTCATTCCCTTCTTCACTTTCCCTTGGCCCTTGTCCGTTTTTCCCTTCTGCTAGCTTCTTGTTTCTCTGAGCAGTGTCTTCCACGTTCGTGTTGCCATCGTAATCTCCTCCCCACCACCTTCTCCCCCACCACCCTTCCTCCCCCCCCGCCTCCTCTGCCCCGTCCCCTCCTCCCCCGTGCTTGAGCAGCTGATAGACGAGTCACCGAGCACGTTTGTTGACCCCGCCTCGCGCAAGGCGCTGGTGGAGTTATTAGAAGTAACTCATGCTGTGGCCATGCCCGTCCATGCTCATGCCCGTCCATGCTCCTGTTTCCCTTTCGTTTGTCTCAAACCACCCCAAATCAGGCGTGGAAACTGCTCTGGAAGCAACTGCAACGCCTAAACCACCACCACCGACACAAACACTGCTAACGCCAATGCCGCTACAAATTCCTTAGCAGCGGCGGCAGCAGCAGCGACTCCCGGAGGTTCAGCCTTCCCATGCCAGCACTCAGTGGGATTGCAGCAGGGGGAGCCATTGTGCTGCTGCTGGTTGCCATCACTGCAAGCCCCGCAAGACCGGGTGTGATAGTGGCCGTGCTTATGTGTGATGCCACTGTATGTTGTGCGTTGTTTAAGTGGAACCTAAACACTATTTTAATGAATAATAAATCTCTGACAAAACTAGTAGTTGTTCAATACATTTTGTATTGAAAGCAGTATACGTCTTTGTTACACGATGTAACATTTGTTACCTTGTAATGTTTGGAGTAGTTGCTACAATGTATGTGGTATTTATCCGCACTGTTCCGAGGTTGTTACTACCGAGAATCTCCGTACCGCACACCCAGCGCACTTCGATGGATAGTGTTGCGACACAGCAATTAAAGTGTGGGGTCTCCCAACCCCCGCGGAGTACCAGCAGGGTTGCGACATTGTACCTACTGCACGCTGCGGTGAGTAGTAGTTTGTATGTATTAACACATATGCGTACATACCCCTCAGGAGTGGAGTAGCTACTTAGTAAGTACACAGCACGTTTATAGTACATAGTATGCAGGTTCGCCTTTACTACTTTGGGATCATGTCATTCAGAACCATCACAGCGTCTGTCAGATTCTCCTGGCACTTGCACTTTTGAAATGGATGCATAATGGAAAGCACATTGCTCCCCTTGCAGCTGATATCCAGGAGTATTACAGACGTTTCCACTTGAGGGGTGAGATCAGGCACATTGGAAGGACTGAAACTAGAGCAGCACGCCGCGAAAAGCCGTCGGTAATCGAAGTCGTAAGTGAGCTCGACGGTCATCAATGAGGGAAAGTGTTTCCTGCATTTTTCTCTCCACACTCTCTGACTGTAAGCAACTTCTTTGAAATCCTTGCGCACTAGAGAAAAGGATATCACGTCCAACGGAGGGAAGTATTGCGTGCAAAGGCTTTCCAACACATTATGAGGCACGGACGCTAGAGTTTCTGTGACCTCATACCGCTCCGCCATGGAATGCCTCAAGAACCTGAATTCAGAGCTACTCAAAAGCAGCGAGACAGCGTGCTTGGTAAATATGGAACCTGGAATGGCTTGCCCGATGACAATTTATCCATTTCTTTTCCTAATTGCCTGTGCTCGCTCTCGTCGCGTGTTTCAGTCGATGAGTTTCCAAGGTGGAAGGAAAATTTCTGTCGACCATGATGAATCTCGCATGTTAATCGAACGGTCGAGAGGATCTGGAAGTAACACTCATCCTAGCGAGTCCACGCACACACCCTAGGGAGGAGGGAGTTATCGGGATCATCTCGAGAATGGCTGGTGGTGGATGAGAGAGTTGAGATTACGGCGTGCTAGATCGCCACACAATTCCGAAAATGGGGTCTGGCCGAATTTTCGACGACCAAATGGTCGTCATATTCTTCGCGAACAACGACGAGGTGGCCGAATCAGACTCGACTCTTTAACAGCCAAATTTTACAGTTTTGGCAATTTAACAACTTTGGTGGCCGAATTGCAAGCTGGTTCAGAAAAGTTGTTAAATTTGCAGTTACTACAGTAGTTTAGAATGTGCGACGGGGTCGCACATTTGACGGCGATATTTCTCATTTGACGCGATCATAAATTCTGTCGTTGGACGAAACCGTGCGACGTCGCATGCGTTCGTCGCACACTATGTCGACTACTTGGCCGTTTCGGAGTCGACTCGGCGTCGTTTTCGTGTCGACTTTTTAAACGGCCATCAAATTCGTTATTTTTTTACGAAATTCGCGACAGTCGCCACTTGACTTACGACGGTCGCAAACTGGTTACCTTCGCGAAAACGGCCCGACGGATTGTGGCCGAACTTTTGGAGTTCGCGATTTAACACGCCCTTACTAGCCATTCAACAGCTCGGAGCTTGTTTGGAGATCCCCACCCGGCAACCCGATAACGTTTTCGCGAAAATTGGTGGTGAGGGAGGTCTGGAACATAACTCGCTTTGGTGGTGTTCGCAAAGACTATAATGTTATGTCAAACATTATATATGTTCTGCTTGTGTAGGCTACAGTGGGTTAGCCTATAGGGGGTACACAATTCTAGGGTTTCCTACTTGTACTCATTTCACTGCTAGTTCATACATTCCTGTTCGCTTATTCTCACATGGTATCGAGCAGGTTCCCCTGTGGGAACTGTTCGTAGGGCCCACCACCGCTACCTCTTAACCTTTTTTTCCTGCCCGGAGCGCGCTCCGGGCCCTAGTACTTTTTTTTTTTTTTCGATCTGCCCTAGTGCTCTGAAGGCCGCCCGCCCTAGCGCCCGAGCGCCGCCGCCCTTGCGCCCTGACGGCCGCCCGCCCTAGTGCCCTGACGGCCGCCCGCTCTAGCGCCCGAACGCCGCCCGCCCTAGCGCCCTGACGGCCGCCCGCCCTAGCGCCCTGACGGCCGCCCGCCCTAGCGCCCGAGCGCCGCCCGCCCTAGCGCCCGAGCGCCGCCCGCCCTAGCGCCCTGACGGCCGCCCGCCCTAGCACCCGTGCGCCGCTCGCCCTAGCGCCGTGACGGCCGCCCGCCCTAGCGCCCTGTCGGCCGCCCGCCCTAGCACCCGAGCGCCGCCCGCCCTAGCGCCCGAGCGCAGCCCGCCCTAGCGCCCTGACGGCCGCCCGCCCTAGCGCCCGTGCGCCGCTCGCCCTAGCGCCCGAGCGCCGCCCGCCCTTGCGCCCTGACGGCCACCCGCCCTGACGCCTGAGCGCCGCCCGCCCTAGCGCCCTGACGTCCGCCCGACCTGACGCCTGAGCGCCGCCCGCCCTAGCGCTCTGACGACCGCCCGCCCTGACGCCTGAGCGCCGCCCGTCGTCGCCCCAGCGCCCTAGCGCTGGACGCCCGCGAGCCGCCCGCCGAGCCGCCCGTGCACCCGCCCAGCGTGAGCCGCCCACGACCGCCCAGGCTGCCGTCCCCTTCTACCGGCCCCGCAACTGCACCTGCTGGCCCCGCCGCTGCACCTACCGGCCCCCACCACCCACCCCCCCTTTTCCCGTCGCCCGTCGCGGCTCCTTCGGGGGCCGCCAGCAGAGGGGTGGCAGGTGTGTGGCCTCCCCTGCTTCTCCTCCTCCTTCATCGCTCACCTGCAGCAGCCGAGCCGCCCCACCGCCGAGCCGCCCTGCACCCGAGCCGCCCAGCAGCCGAGCCGCCCTGCCGCCGAGCCGCCGGGTCGCTGAGTTGCTGAGCTGCAGTTGCTGCCGAGCCGCCCTGCCGCCGAGCCGCCGAGTCACCGAGCTGCTGAGCTGCAGTTGCTGCCGAGCCGCCTTGCCGCCGAGCCGCCCGAGTCGCCCGAGCCGCCGAGCCGCCGAGCTGCCGAGCCGCTGAGTCGCCGAGCCTACTCTTCCCACCACTGGTGAGCTCTTGCCCTGCTAGCACGCTGCGCGTCGCCTGCTTGCCTGCCTGCCTGCCTTTTGGCTTGCCTGGCTGCCTGCCTTCCTGCTGCTAGTCCTGCTCCTGCTTCTACTTGCGGAGCCAGATGCAGCCCCAACGACGCCTGCGTGAGTCCCTCACGCCCCAGCAACTGCGTGAGTGGTACGCTGGTTGGGGCTGTAGGGGTGGCGATGCTACTCCTACTTCCACTCCTGCTGCTTCTACTCGTGGTGGCGGCCAGATGCAGCTCCCGCGACCCTCTCGCGTGTC